GGGAGGGAAGATGGAGGGGAGCGAGACGGGAGGCGCATGGATGGGGATGGGGCTGGGGAAGGTGCTAAGCGGAACGAAGCATGGAGGGGGCCAATGCTGCTCCATGCTTCGCGGCTGCAGAACGTTGTTGTGCGAGTGGAGCGATCTTGCGCGGTTGATTTGCTAGTTACGAGGACATGGGTGCACCACAAGCATCAGTGCAGGCTGCTCCGGGTCAGTTCACAAGTAGAACGAAGCATGGGTGGGGGTAGTTCTGCACGTTCTGACGCGAGGCGAGCTGTGTTGCAGGGCTTATATGATGGCACAACGCATGCACCAGACAGTCCAGTCATGGCCGAAACGGCAGGATTGTTGCGTGCCAGAACCGCAACGCTTGAAATTTGATGGTTGGAACGAAGCATGGAGGGGGCTGATGCTGCTCCATGCTTCCTGGAACGGTTGTCAGAAGCCATGTTGCAATGGGGTTGGAGACTAGCTGCAGAAATTGAAAACAGCCACTTGATGTATCTTTGTATACTGTATATATATATATATTACATCCAACCTCCAACCCGACTAAAAAGGGAACCGTCTTGTTTTCTTCTTACTGCGACGATATTTCTATCTATATGCCGTTGTAAATTCTTAAGATCGAAGCCCGCAAAGGTTTGCCAGAGAAAAACGAACGACAAATCCTCTCCTCCTGGGACATATCTCCGCCATATCGACGCCCTGATCATGCCAACGATGCACGCCGCCGGAAATCTACGCAAAAAATATAAGCACTAGACGACGAATGACCCTGAAGCGTTTTACCGCGTGTGATGCACTGTAGCGCTGGCACAGCAGTACACGCGCGCGCTTTTCCAAAAAGAATCTCCGATGCTTGGGTTCTCGTTTAGTTTAGTCGTTAGTGGGGGGCAGAGCGAGACGAGGTGGACGGGCGTGGACGGGACGGGGCTGTGGAAGGAAGATGGATGCTAAGTAGAACGAAGCGTGGGGGGGGCTAATGCTACTCCATGCTTCGCGGAGGAACGTTATTGTGCGAGTGGAACTGTCTGGCGCGGCCTATATGACGGACTTGGGTGTCCAGAATGTGTGCAATGTCCTATATGCCTAAGACAGCCCAAGTGAAGCGTGGAGGGAGCTGATGCTGCTCCACGCTTCCTGGAAGGGTTGTTAGAAGCCACGTTGCACTCGTTTTATGACCGTTTTGGAGGGCTTTCAAAACTGACCAAGGGGTGGACGGGGGTGTGTGTGGCAGACGGGGGTGGACGGATGCGCACCAGAACCGCGATGCTTGAAATATCATGGTTGCCACGAAGCCTGGAGGGGGGCTGATGCTTCGTTTTGGCCTGCTAATGTGTGTTTGTTTATTTTTCCTGGGCTGCGCGCTTCTTTTTGCCTCTGGGTCCGCGGGCTCACCTTGTTTCGTGACCCTGGAGTGCTTGCTAAGCCATTTGGTGGCTGGCCCTTCCGATCCATTGCATGCTTACATTGGCCTAAGAAGGAAGCCTTCTGGTTCGTAGTACGGCTAGGACGTTCGAAGGAGGCCATCGCTCTCATGTTTAGGGGTGCTCATAGCTCAAAAAGTGCCTATCGGGGCCATCACAGAATCAGTTATGATCAATGGGTTCTTCATCACACGGTCGGTCACATTGTGACAAGGCGTGTCTTGCGCCAACACAGCCTTAGTTCTATGTTCGCTACTAGGAACAATTGCATCGCTACTAGTAACAAGTGCCTTACTAGTAGTAACGAGAAGCTACTAGTTGGATCCTGTAAGGTATTAAACTTAGAATTAAATGAATTCTTGAATTTGACCACCTGGTACTTGGAGGGATGCTTTGCTTCTAGCGATGGCCTCCCTAAAAGCGGCACAGCGGCCCAAGGAAGGTGGTCGTTTTGGGCTCTGGCTGGGGAGCCTTGTCCTTCGCGCGGAAGCTTGATCCTTCGGCCTTCGATGCCGGGTGTCCAAGAGTTGGGGTTGTCAAGAGTTGAGAATGAAAGCGTGCTCTTGTTACTAGTAGCGTCCTTGCTCCGAGTAGCGATGCCAGGAACCCCTAGTAGCTTCTTGTTCCTGGACAAATTCAAGTCCTGTGCCTTTTTGTAAGAAAATGTAAGACAGGAGAAAATTGAAGAAGGAAAATAGAAAGAGTTCGTTGAAGTTGCTTGCTGTTTAGCTGCAAGGAGTAGCATTCTGTGCAAAATTCACCGGTCATTTGTGCGAGACCATCAAAGGGTGGCTGGCGGTGTGATTTTAATCATTAACGATTATATAATAGTAATTAGTAGCGATGGCCTCCCACCATCAACGATTCTGAATTCTTTGGCTTTGTGTCATTTTTCCCTGATCGAATCGATGACTAGGAGCGATCGGATGCTACTAGGGGCTCCTGGCCTTACTAGGAACAAGGACGGTACTAGGGCCTCCTGTCATCGCTACTAGGAGCATTCTTACTACTAGGAACAAGGGCATCACCAGTAGATTCACTCCAACCAGCACTGCAGGTCACAGTCGTCTCCCCACGACCGTTCTTTTTCTACACGCCGCTGCTGGTTGGAAGCACCACTGGCATCGTCTCCCCTGGTGAGGACCTCGGGACAGACCACTAGCGAGGTGGCCAGGAGCCCCTAGTAGCTTCTTGCTACTAGTAGCAACCCGTGCTTGTGTTTTTTTTCCTTTGTATTTCTTCTTTCTGGCTCAAATAGCTACTAGTAGCGATGCACTTGTTACTACTAGCGATGCCCCTGCTACTAGTAGCGTCCTTTGTTCCTAGTAGTAAGGCCAGGAGCCCCTAGTAGCGTCCTTGCTCCTAGTAGCGATGCCCTTTGCTCCTAGTAGCAAAGAAAGAAGAAGAAAGACGACAATTTTTTAGGCTCAGGCTGCAGGCTTGAAGTAAGCAGGGAGGAGGTGCTCCTCTTTGGCAGTTGAGTCCGAGGCTGTGTTTCTAGTTTCTGTTCTGTCTTTCTTTTCGGCCGTTCAACGCGTTTCTTGCTTTTCTTCCTTGCTTTCTTTTATGTTCCTAGTAGCTTCTTGTTCCTAGTTTCCTGTTGGAGCGCCTAGTAGTGTCCTTGCTCCTAGTAGCGATGCCAGGAGCCCCTAGTAGCTTCTTGTTCCTAGTTTCCTGTTCAGGTCTTCATTTGTTATTCTTCGTTGTTTTCTTTTTGGAGCAGACTAAGAGGGTAGTTGGCCCCAAGATGGCTATGCAAACAGCGCTTTGTTCGGCCACGACCTCAAGCACGAAACGGCGTTCCCCAATCACCTTGAAGAACCTGCGAATGCATGTTTGTGCAAACTCTACGTGTTTAAAACGAAACGAAATGCGAACCCGTGCTTGTGTTTTTCTTTTGCTCCTGTATTTCTTCTTTCTGGCTCAAATAGCTACGTTCGTAGCTTCTTGCTACTTGTAGCGATGCACTTGTTACTACTAGCGATGCCCCTGCTACTAGTAGCGTCCTTTTGCCCTTTGAGTGTCAGGTGCGATCATCGAACCGATTCGGGACAATGTTCCCAAATGCGACTTTCTGCGGGTGCACTGCAAGGAGAGAGGTTTCTGTGAAACGTTGCACGGAAGTTGCACTGAGCTCCGATGTTTTGCAATCCCAGGATGTCGACTTAGAGAACAAGAAGGCAGATCCGTTGCCAATATGAATCCCACAGAAAAAGTCCAATGTGGTTTTTGTTGTTTTTTCGAACTTGTATTTGGGCCTTGCATGCGGATACCCTCACAACAGGCTTGTTAAGTGGGCAAGCTGCAGTCAGAAAGGTCTAAAATCAATGAAAGGGAATACCAAAAAAATACTTAAAGACAATACGAGTCTAAAAAGGAAGGTCTAAATGTGTCCAAAGGTCTTAACTGTGCTAAACAAGGAACGGTCTGTCTTGGCAGTCTTGTTCCTTGTCTTGGAACACAAAGAAATGTAAAGAGACACTTTATTGCCAGCTTTGACAATAAATGTTAGGAGGAAATCGCTCTTAGGTTGGAGGCCATTGCCAGTGTTGTGGAGGCCATCGCTCTTGGGTTAGAGCGATGGCCGTTTGGATGTGTATTTCCAAATTTATTTTACCTTTAGAACTCAAGAAGCCTGTCGACCCTTCTCCCTTTCCACGGCCACAGAAGTGTGTTTGTAGTAAGGCCAGGAGCTACTAGTAGTGTCCTTGCTCCTAGTAGCGATGGCCTCCAACCTACTTGCGATGGCCTCCACCCAGTAGCGCCCTTGCTCCTAGTAGCGGAGTTTCTTTGGCAGGTCATTTGCGACAGTGGACTGGAATTGGACTATGACCACCTGGTTGTGGCTGCCGGACCCTTTGACGTTGAGAGGCAAGCCACCCATTTTGAGCGGCGAGAATACATGTCTTAGGTGGGGGCGCAGCCCAACACCTTTGGCATTCCAGGTGTTGACACCTACGGCAGGCAGTGATGAAGATGTGTGTTTTTGCTCGTTGCTGAAGGGGAGGTGCCAAGACAGGCAAGAGCTGAAGATCTAGATCAAAGTATTGTTCTCTCGTCGCGTACTTATGAAGGTTCTTGAAGGAGATTGAGCATGGGCGAAGGGTGCGCAAGGACTGATCTGATTGGAAGAAGGCAATAAGAACCACCAGCGAAGCCAAAATGTGAGGTTGGAGGCCATCGTAGGTTGGAGGCCGATGTGTTGGTCCAGAAGTCCCAGGAGATGTTGGACATCATCGAGCGGGCAGAGGTGGCGCTTGCTGCTGGAAACATAGACAAGGAGCCTATGGATGCAAACAGTTTTGGGGTTGTAGGGTTGTTGTCCAATTAGACTTGACAAGTTTCACACAGTGGTAACAAGAAGCTACGAACGGAGCAAAGGGCATCGCTTCTAGTAACAAGTGCCTTACTACTAGTAACAAGAAGCTAGTAGAAACAATGTTCGCTACTAGGAGCAAGTGCATCGCTACTAGGAGCAAGTGCCTTACTAGTAGTAACAAGAAGCGACTAGTTTTTGTTGAATTCGAAGCAAACGATGTCCGTAGGATCCGTAGGGTCTGAAGGCGGAGTTGCACGGAGTTCAGGTGAAGCAGCTCTTGAGTTTCGTGGTGGTGGGTGGCGGACCCACCGGAGTTGAGTTCTGTGGTGAGCTCTCGGATTTTATTCGGCAAGATCTTAAGCGCGCCTTGGAGAGATCTTGAGAGTTTTTGGGTAGTTTTCGCTAAGTAGAGAGGAGGGGTGAGGAGTTTTTTGTTTTGTTTTTTGCCCGGAGCTTTTTCGCGGGCCCGCGGGGGAGGTAGGCCGCTACTGCAAGTAGCTACTACCTTGGACACAGGATAGCTCGCGCGAATGATTTGGCTCCTAGATGTTTAGGAAAACTTACGGTTGGAGGCCATCGCCCGATTTGAGGCCGCTACCCCAAAATCGCTGAGTACTTCCAGGTGACCTTGGTGGAGGCACTGCCGTCGTTGCTCACGATGTTCCTTGGAAACATGTGAGTAGAGGGAGTGCAGCCGATAAGCAAGAGCACCTTGTTACAAGTAGCGTCCTTGTTACTAGTAGCGATGCCCTTTGTTACTAGTAGCTTCTGTTTCTAAGAAGTTTCAAAAACCTACTAGTAGCGTCCTTGCTCCTAGTAGCAAGGCCAGGAGCCCCTAGTAGCTTCTTGTTCCGAGTAGCGTGGCACTTGTTACTAATAGCTTCTTGTTACTAGCCTGACAAATGAGTAAGAGCTGTCCACGAATCCGAACTGAGGTTTGACAAGTCTGTTGGCGCCTTGTCATCCACGCGAGTGCGTTAGTTTCCCTTTGTCTTCGCGCTTGCTTCTTTTTGGCCAAACAATCCGAGGAAATTGGAAGAAGTGTTGTTAGCTCCTAGTAGCGTCCTTGCTGCTACCAAAAAGCATGCATCATGAAATCGGAGAATGTGTGAGACAGCGTGTGTTTGAGGAAAGTATGTCCAAGACCACCTTGAAAGGCAAGGGGTGTCCGTCAAGTTGCCACTTGGCTCACACGGCAGTTGAAACATACACACCAAGTCACCAAGTTGTCCTTTTACGTCGACCAATCTCGAAGATCAGGAAGGCGATGGTCAAAAAAGTGGAAGAAGAAAGAGTTCATCTTGCGACCGAGGC